TTGTGCCGCTGTTTGTCCTTGCTTTCAACTTTGGGGGTTTGCGTAGGGCCCAAAAGCACCAGATGAAAGCTGCCTCGCCAATCTGAGCAGAGCCACCGTAGCATTCAGCTGTTGGGGACAAATGAAGAACCATGCCACTGTCGGTTTCCTTTCAGCAAGAACTCCTAAACCAGCTCTTGATGGCCTGCGAACCAAGCCCTGGGCATGGGGAAAAAGCTGAGTGCGCAAGCCCCATAGCAGCAACCGCTGGGTTCTCGCATCAAAAGCCGGGGGTTTCAAAACTAAACCCGGCGTTTTCAAGCAAGATGCGGGAAAAGACTGGGTGTCCCAAGCGCGGTTTGTGGCAAGTGGCAATCCCTTGCTCATCCATCAGCCACACAAAGCCAACAGTAAAGATGCCCACACCTCCAGTGGATCTTCAGGACAAAGAACAGCCTCCTTGGATGTTCAACCAAGTTAGTAGGTTGGTTATAGTCATGGTTGTCTAGCTGCGACCACGGATATAACCTATACATCCTAAGTTGCTCCAACATCCAAGCACCACGCCCACGTCAACCGGAACCCCAACCCCAAGCCACCCGTCTTCTGGTCCTTTGCTTTTGCTTCTTCCTTCTTGTCCTCGGGGTCAGAGTCCTGGCGCACGCGGCAAGCGCAAGGGCTTTGGTTGAAGCAGTGTCCTCAGAAAGAGAAGTTTAGACCCTTATTGCCTAGGTCCTCCAGTAGAGAGGTTAGAATAAGGGTACCCTTTTTCTGTAGCCTATTTTAGTAGGGGAACCCTTCCCCATAAAAGGGTAAAAGGGCACTACTGGGGGACCTAGTTGCATTTCTATGGGATGCTTAGGGTTTAGGGTTAGGGTTTAGGGTTTACTTTGGTTCGAAAGGGAAACCGAGTGTGACACAACACCAATGAGTCGAAGCACAGATGCCGAACCACCCACGGCTCCGATCGGGGCTTATCGGGGCTTGTGCCGAACCTGAGGTTCCCGGTTCCCCGTTCTCCGTGCACCCCGAGTTGTGGAACTCGGGGTTTCAAAACAACCCATGAGGAATTCCATCCAAATTCCATGGATCGCACCGTTTGGGGAACATGAGCTTCTCATGGTTACGTGTCTGGGGGGTAGGGGGGGAGAAGGGAGCCCAAATAAGGTTTGTATTCCTTGCTAAAGCCTTAGCCATTCTTTTGGGCTCCCCCCCCTCCCTTCCGCCCCCCCCCCCCCCCACCAGCCCCCCATAGTCTGATCGCTGGTTTTTCCCCTTTCATGACCGGTTGTTGTCAAGGGCTCTTGAGGAGTCCGGGTTCTTTGGAGGGCCCGGCCTGCATTGTAGGGGTGAGCCTTAGGGAAGCTTTGCAAAGGGCGCCTGGTCCGGCGGAGGCGGCACGAAGAAGCCCTCCTCTTCCTGGCGACGCGAGACTCGCGCGAGGCGCGAGGCTCGCGCGAGGCGGGGCAGAGCTTTTGGGCCTGGTGAAACATGTGGATGCTTGCGAAATCAAACTATTTGTTGGTAGTTACTGGGATTCATCCTTCCAGAGTTTCTTGGGTGCAGGATTTCGTCCACCCACTGTCGCCTGGGGAGTTAAACACTGCTGTTGACCCTTCAGCATTCAGGATGGTGAATTGTCTAAATTGGGTTCTGGCCTTTCTTGCAATGCGAATTGGTTATAGTTCATGCAAATCCGTGTCCCGACTTACTCAGATCCAGGCACTGGGGTGTTTGCCAAGTTAACAAGTTCTTGGCCCAACTCAGAGAAGTTAAGCTTGCCAATGTTGACCCCTGATGAATAAACCCCAGTTTATTCATCTGGGGGTGGTAGTCTGAATCCCCAGTAACACCAGGGAAAACAAAAACACCCCCGTATTCATAAACAGGGGTTGGTATGGGGCCAACATTGAGTTTCATGGGCGTAAGGTTGGACTCCCAAAACGGTGGTTCTCCTTTTGGCTTCCCTTTAAGCCACCGCTTACAGGACCTTTTCGGGAACATTGGGTTGCACCCGTGCACGTCTCTCGCCTCTCGCAAAAGCGAAACCGAACCCCCGAAACCCCGCCTCTGGGCTTCCCCAGCCGAGGCCTACGTAGCTCGGCGCCGCCTCGGGTCGGAGGGAGTGGTGACCGGTTCTGAATCCATTCTCAACGACCCGAGAGGGGCTCGAATCTGCGGGGGTAACTTCTACCCAAAGGGTCCTATTCAATTACCCCGCATTTCTCCGGATTACAATCGGAATTTTTCATGGACCCCATTGACTGACCGGTTCTGTGGGACCCACCGAAGCCATGCTTAAAGCGGGGTACGTCAGGCGAGTGGTTATAGTAAGCCTGGTGAGATAACCCACTGAACGGAGACTGACAACCAGCTGTAACCATGGTTATTACCCACTTACTGACTATTGTTGACCCAGGATTCATAAACCTGTCAGAGTGTTCTCTCCAAAAGTGGTCTGAATCCCCCCTAAAAGGGGATCCCCCGATCAAAATCAACCAGAATTTCTGCTTAATCCGGGGTTTACATTACCATGCCCCTTTGGTGTGGAACAACTGAAATGTGAACCGCCCGACCGCCACGGCAGTGGCGCTGTGGCCCAAGCCCGAAGAAGGTACTTGGACCAACCGCGCACAACCACAAACCCATGGAACAAAACAAATTGAGGTGTCATGCTGACTTCCCATCGAGTGGACGGGCCAAAACAAGTCTAGACTTTATTTTACCACTAAAATGGTCTTCCCAAAAGGTTTAAGGTCCAGAAGGACTCATGAGTGAGCATTGCTTCCTCACTTGCAACATTTCGGACCTCCACCTTACCAATCCGCCCTTTTCTGCCCGCAGAGCGTGTCGCCGAGAGGTCCGTGAGAATCGGCCAAATCGGCTCCCCGCCGGACCCGGCTCGGCCGAAGATGTCGGCGGCCGGGGGAAAAAAGTGGGCTTTGAATTCGGCCCTCGGGGTTGCTGTAACCCGAAAGCGCATCACACGAGCACTGGACAAAATTACGAATGGAAACTTGGGTGGTTTCAACCTCTGTTGCTTGAGGTACTTGCGCTTCCAAAGGGGTGGTTTCAAACAAACACTACAGGAAAAGCCATGAATTTAGGCATCCCTAAGAAGAAAAGCCACACCCACCAGTAATGCGGGTGACAGGGGCCCCTGCTTGTAACAAATCGCGTGCCTGAATTTTTGTCCGTGGCTCACACAGCACCTGGCCTTGAGGGCCGACTGGCGAGGCATCTTTTTTCTAAAGCGCCCATACTCCTCTCTCGGAGGTACAGGTGTGTCACCTTCGGCTGTCCGAGAAAGACACAAATGCTCCGCAATCAAGCCCTGTCTTCCCAGCTCACGGACGTTTTCCTGCTTCTGCATCGTGACTTGCCTGGAAACCCTCGGTGTGTGCATGCCCGTGTGTGTGGGGGTGTGTTGGAGGACAAAAGGAATAAGGCCGGGGCCCAAAGGGGCATTCGTGACAGCAAAGGATACCAGAAAGCAAACCAGAAAACAAGCCAAAGGTTGCTCAAATCGAAACAACCAAACTCTCACCTTTCCAGTGTTCAACTGGCTTCATGGTTTCAGGAAGCGGCTGTGGGAATCGCCCACTGTGAGAACAGTGGAAGCCTTCCCAACATGTTTACTTGAATACAAGGATACACGCTAATGCAAAGCAAATATATGACGGTGTGAGCCATCTCATCTGGGTCAGCAAATAAAGCCCACATGCTAAACAGTAATTGGTTGTAAACAAATCAGTACCCCCAAAGGACCCCTTATTTCTGCCTTTGTACCCCTTTTTATAGGTCAAAGACAGAAAACATAATCGGTCCTTTGGGGGTCCAGAAAGTCTACACAACAAGTGATTGCCACAATAATGTTCTTCCCGAAACTTAGAACACGCAACAACTTGGCAGGTGAGCAAATCATATCGAAGGAATCTAGCGAACTTAATCATACTTTACTGCACTTCACTTGGGCGAACTTAACTAAGACCTAACGAACTGTTCAACAAGAGCTCCCGCGGGCGAGCAGGAAATCTTAACCAGAATGTCAGGGTTTGCTTTGCACCTGCTCCTGGGACCCCCCCCCTTTTCTAAGGTTGACCCAGGATCTAAGTAGAACCCGTCGGATTATTAGGGGGGCGTTCCCTCCAAAAGTGGTCTGAATCCCCACTAAAATGGGACCCCCCCTATTAATCAAGCAGGGGTTTATTAATCCGGGGTTAACATTACTTTGTATTGTCAGGGTTTATGGCGCTCAAGTATTCCTATGAAGCCCGCTGCTTCCCGCTTCCCCCTCGCTTCGCCATGACAGATAGATAACCTTTCGGGAGTTCCTCCCAGGCATTTGTTTTACATGAGGCTTCCTCTGGTGACCTGTGGATGGTTGCGAAATCCAGTTCGAACCACGAAATGAAGCCATGGTTGGTTGGTATTTGCAGGGGAATCATCATTCCAGGGTTTGTTAGATGGTGCGAAATGGGATTTGTCCATCCCCAGTACCATAATTGCTGGCTTGAAGCGTGGCTGGGCTCATATTTCACCATTGTTTACCTGCCCCCTATGTAAATTCCCGGTTCCTTGGTTGCCATTCTTTCTAGAGGCCCCCGCTTCGTTTCTCAGCTCGCAAATAATCATAATCAACTTGGCTGGAATTAGGACCCCAGCATTTTTATTTGTTTGTTGCCTGGATAGTGGAAAACAAAGGGAACCCCAAAAAAGAGCAACAAACAATAACAAGGGGAACGAATTCGGAAGAATCTTCGAGACCCCAGAAAACGATTAGGGCTTCCGAAACTCTCAGATCCCCTTCTCAAAGTTTAAACACAACCACTACACCTAAAAGCATCTCACCGAAGGAACCGGATGCACTGGGGGGACTGGAACCCCCCCACGAAACCAAGCAAAAAACCATGCAAAAACCCAGGAGCCGGACAGTTCGCGAGGGGAACCAAAGCCACTCAGATGTGGTGGAGTTCCAGGGGAAAAAAAGTTGGCATCCTTCCCCCCCCAAAAAAAACAGAGGAAGAACAAAAAATGGGCTGAATCCACAGAACCAAGAAAAGACCCGAGGGAAGTCAGGGCATCAGCCCTCGCCGCTCACGGGCCCCTCAGTGTGTCGCTTGCATCTTGCCGCCCCAGTTCTCCTCCGAGGAAGAAAGCCTGGCGAGTTCCCCATGAAAATCAGGCCTCTCACTGCCGATCGAGTGGAAAAAAAAGAGAGGAAACAAAAACACTTTGTGTTTACCCTAAGTGTCCTCCCCAACAAAAACTGAAAGTCAGTGAATCAAGTGCCCGAAATGGCCGGCATCGAGTGGGGTCAGCGGGAATCAACATTTCAAGGGGCCCGAAATGGCGAAACAACATCGTTTTGCTCACCTCCTAAGTGGAGTAGCCTCAAACAAGTCGGAACTTCTTTGTTTACGAATCCAAGGCGTTCGCCACAGAAGGTCACCCTTCGCACTTGTCCTCTGGGTTTTTATATTGGGCGCCAAGCCAACTTTACATGCGGTACTTTGTAAGTGGGTGGTAACCATGCATATAATCCACTTAAGCCATGGTAGGTCTCTTTTCAGTGAGTAACCAGGCTTATCTGGTAAAGCCTGAACCAGCGTAACCCTAGGTCTTGAAGCTTGAGCCACGCCAAATTCTCCGTCCAGAACCTCAGGGAGTGAGAGAAACCAGCGGGGTTTCCCGGCGGACATCTCTCGGTCCCTGCTCCACTCGTTTCATTTCGGGGCTCCAAAGGAAGCCCACTGTTGAAGGGCAAAGGTGGGTGCTAGATAGTCTTTTCAACAAAATACAAATTCTCCGTGAGCCTTGAACATGGTTTGTCAATGACCCCAACATTTTGGGGTTGATCCATTTTTGGAGGGTGAGAAGGAGACTCCAGGCATGCCCTGGTCTTGGCTTGTGGGAGGATTGAAGATTGTGGGCCAATTGAGTGCGCCCCGATGATCCTATGGAAAATATGGGTGTGGCTCAAAGTTGGGACGCCCAACAGTGGGTGGCTTTCTTTCTTTGGTCTCCCTTTAAACCAATCCCAACCCCGACCCTAAAAAGGACGCACCCTTTGGGAATGCCGGGAAAAAACACCAATAATGTTGCCTTCTCATAGGTCAAAATTCAGCCACGAGCAAAAACGGTGGGTTTTAGTCCTTGTGTTCGTGTGCCAGGGCAAGCCATTGTGGGGTGACCCTATCTTTTAACCACCACACCCACCAGTTTTTCCAGGGTTTTTCTTTTGGCCTGGGGAAGCGGGCGAAGAGCTTGTTCCTCACCATCTCCGTTTTCATCTCCATAAGCTGAGAGACGTTCATGCACTCCGCCTCGGGGCTCGCCGGTTGTTGCAGGCCGCTTCCCAACGCCCCCTGGAAAAAGTAAACCTGATGCTTAAGCCCCCCGGAAAAAAACGAACAAGTATGTCCAGTAGTGAAGAGCACATAATTATTGAAAACCAAAAACCAAACCAAACCAAACCGAAAACTAGTACTGTCATGTGCCTCAGGCCCCTGCAAAACATAAAATCGATAACTCTAGTAGTGAGTAGCGAATTCGAATCCCTTGAAAACCCAAAAGGACAATACAAGATATCGATTTCAGCAAATGGAAGACTAGGAAACTCGGATCTCGTCAGAGAGTTAGAAGTTCTAAAGTGTCCACCCCCAAACCACGTGGCCAGGCGGGAGAAAACATGGGTGGCGGGACAACCACGGTATATGCACTCTTGGATGTTCAACCAACTTAGTAACTTGTAAGCAGGTTATAGCCATGGTTATAAGGGTGCCAACCTCGGTTACCCTAGTTGATCCGGTTTGTAAAATACTTACACGTTAGTGGAACATCCAAGTAACGCATCACTAGGAAACTTGTCTGGCCAAAAAGTTCTTATACTCAGATCCTCAGTGGATTGAGCCAAACAAGAACAAATAGTTTGTCTGCCACTGAAATGCTCGAGACACAAACAATATTATCAAGTCCAGCAAATCAGAGAGTGAGATTACCTGGATCAAAAAATGATGGTCATTACCCAAAATAATGGGGTTGACCCATTGTTAAAGCGTAATGGAGACTCCAGGCATCCACCCATACACTTCCCCATATTTTCCTGGTGCCCTGGTGGAAAAGGTCTCTGCTTCCAGGCCTGTTAGGTATCCAGGCATGGCTACCTCCAAGTTTTACCATTCATGGTTTCCCCGACAGGAGTACAGGATCAAGATCAAAGCTCGCTGGGTTGTTCCAATCCCCCAACTAGCACAGGTCGTGACAGACCTTGTGTAGCTTTCTCAGACAGTGGCTTACCTGGAAGGACTGGAAACTAAGATCTTCAGACGTAGGTTCAGACCCCCAATGTAACAACAAACAATTGGATCGGATATATGTTCGTTCTCGGTTGCTTTCTGCTGCCCTGCTAAAGGTTTACAACTTTTAGTGGTTTAATACGGAAAAGCCATTAGTTGGCAAAAAGTTATTCAGTCCTGAGATCCCTTGGCAAAATGCACCAAAGTGTTGCTCTATGGAACAAGATCCTCCATTTGCTTAAGTCCCCTTCGAAAAATATGAATCAATTTCCAGTAGTGAAATTGATTTCCTTTAAAACCAACAGGGGGAAATAACAAATATTCATTTCACCAAATGGAAGAAATGCAATCAGCAGGTTGTTCACCAAAAGGGATGCCGGGGCTTTCCATTAAACCACTAGAAGTTAGTCACTTTTAGCAGGGCTTCGCAGAAAGCAACCGAGAAAATGCAATCCGAACGGACCCACACTGGAGCAAAGTGTGGAGTATCGAGCCCAGGAAAAAAAAAGCATTCGCCTCCTCGGCCGCAATCTTGCACACGAAGGCCGTCCTTAGGTAAGCTTTGACAAGCACATCCTTTCATAAACAAAAAACACATCGGGAACTTCTGCAGGAAATGAGATTTCCGAAAAACCAATTAAACCAAGATTTTGTGCGGCAGACTTTGCTGTAGCATGTTTCTTGGATCCTTGTGAGCGGACTTTGACAGGTAGATGTAAAGACTCAGCCCGGGTGATCTCCCCTACAGCCCCGCACCCCTGGAACCCTCCGGAACCCTTCCTGAAAAGCTGCCCCAAACCACCCCTTATCGCCCATCCGGGCCTATCGACCCCAAAGCTTCAGCTGTTTGGGAAAATCGCCAAACTTCTACGGGTTGATTCCTTGTCCATTCTTTTCCATGATGCATGGCTAGTTCTAACCAGTGGGTTAGAACCATAGGGTTGTTACCGTACCAACTTTTGTCTGTAGTCTATTTTAGTAGGGGAACCCTTCCCACAAAAGTTGGCAAAAGGCTTAAAGGGCACTACTGGGGGATCTAGGTACTATTGATTCTTGTCGTCCGGCCCTTCATCCCCTCGCCTAACAGGGCTCGGCCTGGTTTTGTTTCTGTCGCTCTTCTCCTCCTCAAACCAAACCAACAACTAGTGCCGTCATGTGCTTAAGGCCCTGCCAAGCATAAAATACATAACTCGAGTAGGGATAGGTGTGCTTCAAAACCAGCAGGCGAAATAAGACATATTCATTTCAGCACATGGAAGAGTGCTATCCATGACCAAACCAATACCCAGTTCTGTATGATTCCCCACTACTTCCAAAAACTGGGATGTTCAACATGGGGTCGACTAGGCACCATCGAATATCTGCATCGAAGCCGAACGGGGGGGACCAAACCTTGTTAGGCTTTAAGGGAGAAATCTTCAGGACCTATACAACAGGCACGAACCTATCGCCTTTGCCTCCAGTGTGGATGGTTGCGACTTTTTTGCACCACGACATGAAACCATGGTTGAAATCCAAACGTGTCTTAGTATTTACAGGGCCGGCAGCCGCATTTTTATGGTTTCCTTTTATGGTGGCGCGAACTCCGGGAAATTTTCGCCGCCAGCCCATAAGGGGTTATTTTCTAAGCCCGGAGGTGTTCCGGAAATTGGCGTCGACCTCACGGGCTCGGCTCCAAATCCAAGGTTCGTAGCTGAAACATAGGCTGGTTGAGAAGAACAACTCACACACCACAGCCCCATCCCCACAACAAACCGGTTACAAAACAAATAAACGTGTCCTCAAATGGGTAAATGAACGAAGGGTTGATCGGAACAGCAAGAGCAAAAACAACAAAGAACGCAACATCAAGCTTTTCCTAAGTCGAGACAATATCAGACTTGTCTCAAAATCAACCATCATGCTGAAGGACACCTGCGAAAAAGAAAAAGTCCGAATGGTTGAGTTGAACAACAGAAAGAAGCAAAGTAACTTTTGGCCTAACATAAACCGCCAGGCTGAGATGAAAACCAAACAATTGTCCTGCGAGCCAAGCGGAATTCGAGCGTCTCAAAGGGACGGAGGATGCGGTTCGCCCGGATCCCTTGCTGCAGGCTGTCAGAGTAGACGTAGTCGCACGCTTCCAGGATCCTCATGGAGACTCCAGGCATCCACCCATATTCCCCAAAAAGTGAGATTACCTGGATTGAAAAATGGTGGTCATTACCAAAAATAATGGGGTTGACCCATTTTTTCAGGGTCATGGAGACTCCAGGCATCCACCCATATTCCCCAAAAAGTGAGATTACCTGGATTGAAAAATGGTGGTCATTACCAAAAATAATGGGGTTGACCCATTTTTCAGGGTCATGGAGACTCCAGGCATCCACCCATATTCCCCAAAAAGTGAGATTACCTGGATTGAAAAATGGTGGTCATTACCAAAAAAAATGGGGTTGACCCATTTTTTCAGGGTCATGGAGACTCCAGGCATCCACCCATATTCCCCAAAAAGTGAGATTACCTGGATTGAAAAATGGTGGTCATTACCAAAAATAATGGGGTTGACCCATTTTTTCAGGGTCATGGAGACTCCAGGCATCCACCCATATTCCCCAAACAATTCCTGGTGTGGAAAAGGTCTCTGCTTCCAGGTTCATGGTAGGTATCCATGGCTACCTCCAAGTCTTACCATTCATGGCTTCACAGGGAGTACGGGATCCCCAAGATGAAAGCTCGATGGGTTCCCATCCCAACGAGCACAGGTCGTGACCCTTGTGTAGCCTCCCCAGTTCTTCGAGCCATGGGAAACCATGGTATAGCATAGAGGGCAGAAACCCCAAGGGCTGACCTGCTGCGGCAAAAAACGCCTGGAAGCACTGGGTCGAAAGTAAAAGGAAGTACAGGTTCCCTTGAAAACCAACAGGGAAGAAAAAAAACGCCGAGTCTTTAGCAAATGGAACTCGCTGGAATGGAACGAAGCAGCTGGGTCTACTTCGAAAAGCACACAGTTGTTTCCAACAGGTCCCAAAACGGGACGTTTTGGTCCCCCGCTGGACCAGCCAGCTTTTTAAAAGACAAAGGGAATTCACCCATCATTTTTTGGACAAGGGAATTGTGAGGGTCCTTTTGGAACCTTTTGGAACCTTGACCAAAAGTAGACCAAACCGAAACCAAAGGCTCATTTCAGGTCGAATTTGTTTTGGGTTCAAACTGTTTGGGCCTTTCAGTTTATCCGCCAAGAGATTTAAACAAAAACAAAAAGCGTATTCTCAGGTTCGTTCAATTCAGCTGGTAAGTGTTAATGGCCGCAAGGTTGGAACTCCAACATGGTCTGCTTCCTCTTGGCGTCCCTTTAAAACCACCGTGTACCAGGGCACACTCAAAAGGGGCCCCCCAAAATGTGCTGTTTTCTTTTCCCTTTGAGTGTCCCTTTAAAACCACCAAACAAGAGCACACAAAGGACGAGCTCCAGATTCATAAGGGCGAACAACTTGAAACCACCAAACCAGGGCACCCTCAAAACCAAGCTCCAGATTCATAAGGGCAAAAAACTTAAAACCACCGACCCAGGGCACCCTCAAAAGATGAGCTCCAGATTCATAGAGCAAAAAGCAAATCAAACCACCGAACAGGCGGGCAGCCTCAAAGGACGAGCTCCAGATTCATAAGGGCCAAAAAAAGCTTGAAACCACCGAACAGGCGGGCAGCCTCAAAAGACATAAGGGCAAAAAGCTTAGAACCACCAAACCAGGGCACCCTCAAAAAAAGACGAGCTCCAGATTCATAAGACAAAAAGCAGGAACATACCAAATCGGGGCACCCTCAAAAGACGCGCTCCAGATTCCTAAGGGCAACAAGCTTGAAACGATAAATTAGGGCACCCTCAAAAGACGCGCTCCAGATTCATAAAGGCAAAAAATAAGCTTGAAACCACCAAACAGGCGGGCAGCCTCAAACGACGAGCTCCAGATTCATAAGGGCAAACAAAAAGGGTTGAAACCACCAAACTTGCGGGCAAACACGAGCTCCAGATTCATAAGGGCAAAAAGCTTGAACCCACAAAACCAGGACACCCTCAAAAACGAGCTCCAGATTCATAAGGGCAAATAAAGGCTTGAAACCACCAAACAGGCGGGCAGCCTCAAAAGACGAGCTCCATATCATCAGGGCAAAAAGCCAATGCAACCACCAAACTGGCGGGCATCCTCAAAAGACGAGCTCCAGATTCATAGAGCAAAAACAACTTGAAACCACCAAACAGGCCGGCAGCCTCAAAAGACGAGCTCCAGATTCATTAGGGCAAACAAAAAGGCTTGAAACCACCGAACAGGCGGGCAGCCTCCAAAACCGAGCTCCAGATTCATAAGGGCAAAAAAATGAAACCACCAAACAGGCGGGCAGCCTCAAAAAACGAGCTCCAGATTCATAAGGACAAAAAGCAAATGAAACCACCAATCTAGCGGGCATCCTCAAAAAAAACAAGCTCCAGATTGTCTCCTAGGTCCTCCAGTGAGAGGTTAGAATAAGGGTACTCTTTTCTCTGTAGTCTATTTTTGTAGTTGGCAGAGGCAAGGTCAGCCAAAAGCTGGCCAGGCCATGTAAGCCGAAGATATGAAACTACGCCATGCCTTGTCAAAAAAGGGAACCCTCCCCAAAAAAAAGTTGTTTTTTCGGGCACCAATTGCTGGGGGAACGGACTCGGTTGCTTTCTGCTCCCCTGCTAAAAGTTTAACTTTTAGCGGTTTAGTGGAAAACCCATTAGTTGGGAAAAAAATATTCAGTCCTAACAGCCAAGCAATATGAAGGGAATGTCGACATGTGGCCGGGGCGCATGATGCCAAAGGGCCCCATGGTGCCTGTGGCGATGCCGTACACCGGTTGCTGCAGCTCCAGTAAGCGACGGACGACTCGGATCCAGGGGGCTGCATCGACCTGCAGCTTTTCGGATATCGGCGAAGCCGAAACACGGGAACCTCCCCTTGGGTTTTTGTAAAAGCCAGGTACCTGGACTCTCCATGACCCTTTAAAAAAGAGTTAACCCCAGTATTTTGGACAATGACCCCATTTTTTTAAGGGTCGTGGAGACTCTAGGTAGGCTTTCGAACACAATCATGTTGCCATGATCAACATCACCCCCTACGTGGGTGATGAGGGAACCAGCCCCCATTTTCTGACTTTGAGAACCCCAACAGAATGACCTCCGCAGAAATCGGCGGCTCCGAAACACCGGGGGCGAAGGGACCCCAACCCCTGGCCTTTAAAGGGTTTGTAAGACCAAGTTCAAGGCTCGAAAGGTGCCCAACCTCCATGTGGGTGTGGCTCAAAATTCACCAGGAGGGGTTACGCAGGTTTTGGTCCATGTTTCCACTTACCAGGGTTCCATTTTGGTTCCGGTTTTTTGAGCCACAGCCATGTGTTTCTTGGGATTCGGCGAAGTTTGTTGGAGAACCTGTTGGAAGAAAACGTAAAACCAGGCCATTCTCAGGCAAGAAGTCGCTCGAAATCCACGGCTTTGTGGGTGTGCGAGAATTTCATCTGGAGACGGTTTCATAGACCTTTGGGTTTGCAAAAGCCAGCCCAAAATTACCCTCGAAAAAAGACAGGTCCCTTCTTCTCTAAAGAAGGCTACTCGCAAAACGCCGTTTTGTTGTTTCTCAATATGTCGCTTTCTGAAGAAACACGATCGTGGTATCAGAAGCGACTCTAAGACCCCGTTTCCCCCAACTTTTCGAACCCCCTCTGTTTTAATGGTGGCTCGAACCCCAGGTTTTAGTGTACCCAAACTCATTTTGGAGATTTTAGAAAACACCAGGAAGAAAAAAGAAGCCCTCTCCTTTCAATGCCAACAACGTTTTGCACCCATCGCGTTTGCTCCTCGCTAAAACGGCTTGCGATTCGAACGAGATCGATGCATTTCATAGGCGCCCTTTGTTGGTAAATAGACGGGTTTGCCTGGAAATTAACTAAACGGTAGCATGAAGCCAATGTAAAGAAGTGGAACCCGTCTATTTAGGTGTGTCTTTCTCTTGGGGGACGCCCCAAAATAGTGGTTTCCTTTTGGTTTTCACTTGAAACCACTAAGCGAACCCCCTGCTCCAAAAAGTAGGCAACCTTTCGGGATCTTCATGGATGGTTTTCCTGACCTACTATAGTGGCGAAACGCCTGGAAGCACTGGGATACCCCTTTTGCGAATACGCCCGGGCAAAATAACAACAAACGACATCCTGAATCACACATGGAAGTTCCAAACACTGAACCCAAGGATCCCCAAGAACCCACATATTCATTTTATCACCCCCCCAACAAACAAAAAATGGCGTCTTTGAAACCGTCGACTCTTCGACTCAACCAAAACAATATACATGTATATATATATAGATATTATAATTATTCTTATTACTATTATTATTATTATTATTATTAAAAAGTGAACGTCATTCACAGCATCGACTCCTCGACTGACTCCACTGACTCCAAGCCCGCGCCTCCGAGATCTCGGCGGGTTTCGAACCGGCCACGCAGAGAAAGACCAGAGGTATCTGGCCGATCCCCGCGGCCTCGGAGCCGCTCGGAGCTGCTCTAGCACTCCAAAAAACAAACGCCCCCTTTAAGCCCGCGAAGAAAAAAATGAAGAAAGAAAACAACCGGGCTTTTTAGCCTGTATCTAAAAAAAACATTTAAACAAAAACAACTCCAAAACAACAAAAGCGCCTGGTTTTCAGGTATGACATATCAACCATTTACCATCAAAAAGGATGTATTTTCCCCATGGAAAACATGTTTTTGTTTCAACAAACCATCCTCCAAAACAGGGTAAGTTGGGGGGAAACAGATATCGCAGGTCTGTCTTTGTAGGGCGGGGCAACAAAACAAGCCCTACGGGTGTGCGTGTTCCTTTTGTAGGGTGCTGGGTGTGGGTCGTTTTCAAGGTTTGCCAATCGAGGGTTTTAAGGTGTTTGGGTCGCAGTCCGAATGGATGACGTTCTAGAATCATATTCCCCACTATCATGCTATTAAAACAAAACATGGAACATTACGGAAGATTGGAGGGGTCCTTGCTCACTTGCAGCAGGGGCATCCTTCGTACCTGCTAAAGCCCGTTTGCCTGTGGAGAAGCAAAGCGAAATCATTAGAATCAGGTGTTGGGGCCGGATACTCAAAAACCAAGCCTCAATAGTAGGTAAACATGGTTTTGTTTGGTTTACCTGGATTTCCATGATGGTTTGCCCTGGTTACCTACTATAGCGGTAATTCGAAGCACTGGGCCTGATTTATTTATAGACATATACTGGCAAACTGTCCAGCGACTTATGATTCAAACTTTCGCCCCGACGCCTGGATCTGCGCAAGGCGGTCCTCAATCTGCTGCACGGACGAATGCGTGGCGGTCTGATCAATCCTTGGGATGACCAGAAAGGGGCACCGGGGCAGACCACAGACGGTGGATGGACACAATCCCCACCAGGCAGCGGTTTATCAGACATTAAAACAAAAGATTGGCCCCCTGTTGCCAGAATGGCGTCTATCCACAGTAACCCCCCCTACTTCTCAAGGACCGCAAAAGACCAACACAGGCAACTTTAAGGTTGACCTCTGGTTAATACCCTCCCACTTGTCATTTACAAGGTCCCTTTATGACGTGCAGGGGTCAAGATTCACAGAAGAAACGGGCGTCACCCGATTCCGGGTGAAAAAAGCATGGTGGAAAGTGCCCCTCCCGCTCATGGCATCGCAAGTAGAGCAGCCACCAGAAAAGGCATTTGGAGTAAGAGGACCTTTATCATGGCTCGCTCGCTCTGTTTTTTGCCCCGAATTTTTGATGAGCGAGTAATCAAATAAGGCATTGTCTTGGCTTGTCCCCTTTCTGTGAATTTGAAGGGACCCTTTCACCGACATGGTTTAGATGGGGATTCATGTCCACTAGTCACCGTTGAGGGGGTTCCGGCTCTGAATAAGTCATATTCATATGATTCATATTCATATGCTTCCTGGAAGCAAAGAGAAAATATGTCCAGTAGTAAAATTGATCGCACGGTTTCAACAAAACAAAATGGAAGAAAAGCAGTGACCGAGATAAGTCTTTCTGAGGGCATCATGTTTCCAGTGAGTTGTTTTCAGAAGGCCAGAAGGACACCGACCAAGAACTGGCTCAGAATTGTTCAAAGTCAGCGTTGGGGTTACAGGGACACCTTTCGAGCTTTGGACTTCCCCCAAAAACAGATTCAACATAGCTACAACTATGGCAAGGCCCAGTTGCCCTTGTAACCAGGGTGAAAACCAGGTTACAACTAGGTACTTGCGAGAGGATCCATGATGTGCGCCCGAAATGTGGGGAATCACAGCACGTTTGGAGGGCCCCCACCCTCTTACTCATAAACTGAGGTGGATTAATATGGGGTCAACATACTGACCTCACTCATCTAAGTTGTTGCATCGCAACAAGACAATTTTCCAACTCACAGTCTTGAAATGTCCCGGTTCCCGAAGACCCCGCCGAAGCGCATGATGGTGGCGGCTTGCTTCTCCATGGCTTCCCGCTTGCTTCCTCATGCGCGGGCGCTCAGAGCGCGCCCGTCGCCCGGATTCTTTTCCTCGGGCCAAGCCTTCGGCGGACGGCGCGACTTTGACTCGTTGACTGTTTTTGCTGTCGGACTTGTATTTTTTACTGGGTTTTGTTGGGGTTTGCTTTTTGGGCTACGTTTGAATTAAACCAAAATAAGGAAGCCACAAATTTGTGAGGGCAACATTTGGCTTTGTTGGCTTATTTTGCCCTGAGCTTCAGAAAGGACCCGCTATTGGGCACATGGATCTCCAGTGGAAAGTGGACCTGAAAAGTGCACTGTTTTACAGTGAAACGTCTGTTTGGTGGGCTTCTTTGAGGACAACAAAAGGAAAACCCACCATGGGGCGATGTTGAGAAACCTGGTGCGTGTGTGTGTGTGTGTCTCTGTGTGTGTGTCTCTGTGTGTGTGTGTCTGTGTCTGTGTGTGTGTCTGTGTGTGTGTGTGTGTCTGTGTGTCTGTGTGTGTCTGCGTGTGTGTGTGTGTGTGTGTGTGTGTGTGTGCGCGTGTGTGTGTGTGTGTGCGCGTGTGGGTGTGAGTGTGTGTGTGTGTGTGTCTGTGTGTGTCTGTGTGTGTCTGTGTGTGTGTCTGTGTGTGTCTGTGTGTGTGTCTGTGTGTGTGTGTGTGTCTGTGTGTGTCTGTGTGTGTCTGTGTGTGTCTGTGTGTGTCTGTGTGTGTCTGTGTGTGTCTGTGTGTGTCTGTGTGTGTCTGTGTGTGTCTGTGTGTGTCTGTGTGTGTCTGTGTGTGTCTGTGTGTGTCTGTGTGTGTCTGTGTGTGTGTCTGTGTGTGTCTGTGTGTGTGTCTGTGTGTCTGTGTGTGTCTGTGTGTGTCTGTGTGTCTCTCTGTGTCTCTCTGTGTCTCTGTGTGTCTGTCTGTGTGTCTCTGTGTGTCTCTCTCTGTGTGTCTCTCTGTGTGTCTCTCTGTGTGTCTCTCTGTGTGTCTGTCTGTGTGTCTCTCTGTGTGTCTCTCTGTGTGTCTGTCTGTCTGTCTGTGTGTCTGTCTGTGTGTCTGTCTGTGTGTCTGTCTGTGTGTCTGTCTGTGTGTCTGTCTGTGTGTCTGTCTGTGTGTCTGTCTGTGTGTCTGTCTGTGTGTCTGTCTGTGTGTCTGTCTGTGTGTCTGTCTGTGTGTCTGTCTGTGTGTCTGTCTGTGTGTCTGTCTGTGTGTCTGTCTGTGTGTCTGTCTGTGTGTCTGTCTGTGTGTCTGTCTGTGTGTCTGTCTGTGTGTCTGTCTGTGTGTCTGTCTGTGTGTGTCTGTCTGTGTCTCTGTGTCTGGCAGCATACCATTGAGTGGCTAACAACCATGGTTACAACCCACATACCATGGTTGTGAGTCTCCTAAGTGGGATATATCCACGTTTGTTCTCACTTACACTAAGCACCCTGCCCCTTTGTGCGGTCGCGGCATTTGGGGGCGTCTAGCAAGGAGGACTCTTTAGAGTTCCGTAACAAAGAGCCAGGTACTATAAGCCTCACTTCTCGAGTGGGTTGGCCAAAAAAGTCCAAACTTGTTGTTTGCCACGGAAATGGTCTCCCAAAAAGTGTGAAGTCCAGGAGCTCAGGAAGTGAGAAGCAGCTACAGTAAGAGATGAGGTTCAAACAAAAAGCAGCTACTAAGGATGTTCAAGAACTAGAGCCAACTGAGAACTAGGAGCAAACAATGACCCCTGCCTGGAGTCCATGACCCCAATATTTTAGGTAATGACCAACCATTTTTCAAGGGTCAGAAGGAGACTCTAGGTGCGCGAAGCCGGCGTATTACGCCGGCCAACCCCCGCAAAGCTTGGGCCACTGACCGCTGACGCCGCGGGCGGCGAAACCGCGGTGCGATGCACCGGGAAGTCTTTCGCCAGAAGGTTGGCCACAGGGTCGACCTGAGTCTCGTGGCAAAGCTCACGTGGGTGGCTCGTGTGTTCCGGGGTTGGTGTACTTAGGAAGTCAGTAGTTGCTTATAACCCGCTTCGGAGACTCATAACCATGGTATGTGGGTCACAAGCAGGGTTATTACCCATGTACTAAGTACCCTGCCCCTCTAAGTACCCCAACTTTTGTGGTTTTGAGGGGAAGCCAACAGCCTGCTAAACGTTTCAAGTTTCATGCGGGTTAAATGCTAGGTCCTCCAGTAGAGAGATTAGAATAAGGGTGCCAACTTTTTTTTTCTGTAGTCTATTTTAGTAGGGGAACCCTCCCCCAAAAAAGGGTAAAAGGGCACTGCTGGGCAACCTAGAATGGAAACCCAACCACTAAACCAACTACAAACCTAAAAAGCTAAGAAGCCGGATGGCGGGCAACCACGCAAATTGGATCGTCGTTGCCAAGATAGCGGCGAGCGGGGACTTCCGGGACTTCTTCGCGCGGCAAGAAAGCCATAGGTTACCAACAACTTACGAACTTTCAAAGGCTGATTGTATAGGTCCATATATGAACCCATGGCCATTCGGGACCCTTTGAGGGTTGATTTCCCAGAATTAAGCCATAACTAGCGGCTAATTGACCCATACAACTGGGGGTTCATTTCGGGGTTCATGTATGGGCGTATACATTCAGCCATTGAAACTTGGCGAATCGAACATCCAAGCAGGGACTCCATGTAGGCGTGCGCTGTTTTTTTTGATGGGCCCCCTCTAAGTGTGTCGTGAAGGACACCACCCATTTTGGGTGTCCCCCTATTTTGACACATGCCCAGATACATGTGTTGCAGGGTTTCCCAGCGAACCCTTTCCAACCCCAACTCCAACATTGCCTGCGCCCTCAAGCTACACCAAGATTCAGCTGTTTACATATTTTTGTGTGGCTCGGCCTTGATAAGGGTGCCTCTTTGCGTGGTTTTAATCGTCCACTGGCGTGTGCCCCCCGGAAAAATGAGAACATACGTCCAGTAGCGAAATTGATTCCCTTCAAAACAAGGAAAATAACACATACTCGTTTCAGCAAATGGAAGTAATGGGAACCGGAAACCGCCAAAAAGATGGCTTTGACCACTGGACAAGTGACCATCAGTTTGGCGCCAATCGATCAACCCCCATTTGTGACTCGAGCTCAGGCAGGGAGGCAAGGAAGCTGTTTGTTACGAAACCAACAAAGCCATGGAAAATGTCTGCATACCTGGTCAGTGGGGGTTTCAAAATACCCCCATTGGTTGGGTTCTTTTTGGTTTCCCTAAATATCTACCAGAAAAAGATCCCTACTTTGAGACATTTGGTTTCTCTTTCAGGCAACCCCCAAACGGGTATCCAGCCTCAAAACCAACAACCTGAAGTCTCCATGACCCTTTAAAGATAAGGCATACCCCCGTATTTCTGAGGGAAAACAACTTGCCAAAACAAGGTCAGCCATGTTGACCTTTTCCAGCAACACAAAATAGGCTACCCTACAAACACGACAAAGATATAACAACACCATATGGGTATTTCTTTCTTTTTCAGGACACGCCCCCCAAAAAAACGAAAACAATGCGTCCACTATGGTTTCCCTTTAACACCACAAAGATAAGGACAGCCTCAACCAAAGACACGCCAGTCGTGTAAGACTGGTATGGAGTCAACGGATTGGGGCAGATCTGTACACCACGTTCACTTGCTTGCCATGCATTGTGTTCCAAAGTGCCTTGCTTCGAAGGCTGCGTCACCCTGCTTCGATGTTCAATCAACGTATGTTCTTTGCAGCCCCCTTCCAAAACCGAACAGAACCAAAAAACCAACAAACATCCTCAATATCACCAAACCAACAACTGTGCTTTTATTTTTTGCACCCCCACTAAATATGAACAGAGCCAACAAACCGGAGAAAAAAAAGAAGAAACAAAACACATCGCAACACACAAAACTTGCCGAGAACGGTGACGTGGCCATGGGTCAAAAGCTCGTACCCGCAGTGCACCTACCCCAAAATGGTACCATTGGTTTTGACCCACAGCCACGTAAATTTTCCCCCTGCCGGCCGATCGAGCTGGTTTTATTCTGAGCTCCGTGCCATGGTTTGGACCTGAACCGCCTGGTCCCGGTCCAAGTCTGATGACACCTGAAAACATCCAGGCACCACACCCAAAGCTTGGTATACCCTGGAGTCTCCGTGACCCTTGGTGGTTTTAAACATTTTCTTTTGACCCGTTTTATGGTGAGTTTCGCTTGGTATTGGTGTTTTCTCTTGTTGGTCCATGTTTCGTCACCCCAAAGGCCAATCGGGTAAGTCTTCCAGGAGTCTCCGTCTGACCCTTCAAAAATGGGCCAATGACCCCATTTTGGGTAGTGACCAACCACTTTTTAAGGGTCAGAAGGAGACTCCAGGTACCCATCAACACCCGCCATTCCTTTTGCAACGGAGGGGGATGGGGGGGGGCGGGGCTGGACAAACGTATGTATATATATATATATCCCGAAAGTCGCGCTTTCGCGAAGGCGAAACGCACACCTCGGGTTTTTGACCATCAGCAAAACGCCTTTTCAGTCAGCCCAAGCACCCTGTAAAACACCAAGCAGAGGGTTTCCTTGGGCGTGTTTACTACCATGTTGTGATGTGGGATTCATCAAACAGAGGGTTTCCTTGGACGTGCTTACTACCATGTTGTGATGTGGGGTTCATCAAGCAAAGGGTTCCCTTGGGCGTGCTTACATCAAGCAGAGGGTTTCCTTGGGCGTGTTGACTACCATGTTGTGATGTGGGATTCATCAAACAGGGGGTTGCCTTGGACGTGTTTACTACCATGTTGTGATGTCTGGTTCATCGAACAGATGGTTCCCTTGGGCGTGCTTACATCAAGCAGAGGGTTCCCTTGGGCGTGTTTACTACCATGTGGTGATGTGAGATTCATCAAACAGAGGGTGTTCTTCGACGTGTTTTGTGATGTGGGATTCATCAAACAGAGGGTTCCCTTGGGTGTGCTTGCGTCAAGCAGAGGGTTTCCTTGGGCGTGTTTACTACCGTGTTGAGATGTGGGATTCATCAAACAGAGGGATTCCTTGGACGTGTTTACTACCATGTTGTGATGTGGGGTTCATCAAACAGAGGGTTCCCTTGAGCGTGCTTACATCAACCAGAGGGTTCCCTTGG